AATTCTGGGAGTTGAAGTCCACACACCTTAAAGTTGATAACTTGAGAAACACAGCTATAAATATAGATGTAAATTGGGAGGGACGAATTCTATACATAGTATTGCACACACACACATACACACACTCTAATCTGCAGGCTGTAATAAAGTGCAACAGGGAAAGTGCACAAGGAGTTCATATGGTTTTCTTGCATAATAGACCTCTGACTACATTCACTTCTAAAATAGGAAGTATAGCTGCTGTGCTTTAAAAGTGTTATTGTTCACAACCTGTTTCAGCAGTTCACTACTGTGCTACTGTGCTACTTGGTATGTAAATGTCACCTCTTCTAGAAATGCATAGATCTATATTCTTCTAGTTTCTATATATCAGTCTTCTCCCCCTTGTTGTCTTTTAGAGGTGTGTTGAACATCAATTTTTATCACCTCCAGATAGCTAGGGATGATGAGAGCACTTAGCCAGCACATCTGGAGATAAGGATAAACAGACATGAATTAAGATGAAAAGTTGAATCATTTGTGTATTCATGTATGCACCTGAATGGAAGGCTGTCTCTGCACAGGGAAAAAGTGTTGGGAAGATGCAACTCAGCATCTCTGGTGGTTCCTTCTGAAACCATTAACAACATGCCATCAGTAATCTGTTGTTGCTGCAGCTGCTGCTGCTAAGTTGTTCAGTCACTTCTGATTCTTTGTGACATAATGGATCTCATTTTGCCAGAATTGTCTGTCAGTTGCTGCTTCTTTGCGTTCGTGTAAAGTTCATGCTTGTGCGATCAGTGCTGTTGATCAATCTGTGTTTCTCAACCTCGGCAACTTTAAGATATGTGGACTTCAACTCCCAGAATTCCCTAGCTAACTCACTGGCTGGGGAATTCTGGGACTTGAAGTCCACACATCCTAAAGTTGCCAAGGTTGAGAAACACTGATCTAGGTATCTGGTCTTCTGTGGGCCTCTTTTTCAATTACCTCATAGCATTGGGGTCTTTTCTGATGACTTACTTTTTTTTTTTCTTTTGCATTATGTATGTTTAGAAAATTCAAGCTTTAGCTTCTTTGAGTGACCAGTGTGGTTTATTTCAAGATCTAATTGCTTTAACAATTAAGAATTCCTATTTTTAACTATGCTCCTCTTTATTTGTGTTCTATCCAATCCCAAAAGACTCTAGGCAGTTAACAATTTCATCATAAAAATAAAACAGATAAAAAGAAGAAAAATAAATAACACAAGGAATACCAAGAAAATCAGAGTCAAAAGATAAAAAACAGAAAATTACCAAAAACTATTTTTGCATTCTCCTCTGCTTCCATAGCCTCTCACTTTATTAGAGATTTTGCCTTGTATCATTTTCCAAACCACCCCCTCCCCAAAAAATGTAAAGAGTGAAATAAATGTTCTTTGCTGATGATTGAAAATTAATGTAGGATTAAACCACCCAAAATAGGTAAAGGGAGTAGATTTATCTAACCGTAGCTGCAATATTACTAGTACGTGATCCGATACACATACAGGTATGATAACTGTTTGCTTAATTTGCATTAGTACAGATTAGTCACATGTAGTCTATTCTTAGGCAGGACGTATGATTATTTAATAATATGTAAATCATTTTGAGTGGGAATTCCTCATCTCTAACGTATTTTCAGCTTGCATAATTTTCAACAGTGGTTTATAAATGAATACTTCTGTTTAACATTTCTGCCATGGCACCCATCTTATGGAACATCTTCCTCCCTGAAGTGAGGCTGGCTCCATCTCTGTTGATTTTCTGGAAGTCCCTTAAAACTTGGTTGTGTCATCAGGCCTGGGGGCCCCAAGGGGCCCGCAAGGTACTGAAGTGGCTGCATTGTTGTTGACATCTGCTACCCTCTCTTAGCCTTCAATCAAAATTTTTAAATTTTCTGGATTGTAAATTGTTTTTTAATATATTACTGTCTCATAGTTTTATTGTACGCCGCCCAGAGTCACTCTTCATGAGATGGATGGCCATATAAATTTGATTGATGAATAAATAAATAAATAAAATAAAATAACTTTTCAAATATCCAATTTCCCCTGCTTTGCATCTGCATTTTTATTTAGGTCTCCTGCCAGTATCATGTTTTCCATATCAGTTTTAGTAACTGTTTCATTATCTTTGAAGAAAATGTGTCTAGCCCTGATTTGGAGAATATATTGAAGCAAACATAAACAAGTAATTGTCCAATGTTTATTTATTTATTTATTTATTCATTTATACTTACAGGACTTATGTGGCCACCTATTTCATACAAAGACTCTAGGTGGCTCACAACAATTCATAAAACATGGTTAAAAACGAAAGTACCCTTCCTTTAATGTAAATAACTCTATCCCTTACTTTTTCAACTTTAAAATCTAAGCTAGCTTTAAATAAAATTGCAACCCTTCTTGCCTTATTTGCTCCTGCTGCAACATATTATTTATCAAAATATTTATCTTTTATACCTTGTGTTTTGTATGTTTTCTGTAGCATTACCACTGTAGCATTACTACTGATAGAACATATATATTATCTGAAAATTCCAAATCTCTTAAGTTTATCCCTTAAATTCAGGAAAACTAGCTTGCAACAATTATGCATTAGGAATTTTCTACAAAAACTATTATCTTATTCCCCATATAACATGTGATGGTAACTCTTTTCGGCCTGAGGAACTGTGCTATGTTTTAGTTTCTTTAAATGAAAGAGAAAATATACAAACTTTTTTTTGGCTCTACCTTTTCCCCACCCCTTCCATCCCATTCTTGTTCCTTTACCCTTTTCTCTAAATTCATGTGTCTTTTTGTCTTCCTATAATCAACACTCCCCTCTCTTATTTAGACCAGAAGAACTTCAGTAGATTCACAGGAGATCCCATATTGATCTTGGTCTAATGAGGAAGTGCTTTCAACCCCATTAATCCAAATCGTATAATAATATTCACCCTTATCCAATTGTCCTTTAACTACCTTGTATTCTGTTGTATTTGCAGATTGCCCATATAAAGCTAGTGTGCCAGAATGATTAAAGGAAAACAAAGTCCATATTCCTGTTCACTCTCTCAGTATTTGGCTCTTCCATCCTCTCATTCTTGTAGCAGTTATTAAGCCTTTGGTGTGCCAAGGTCCCTTCTTCAATTAGCTCTACAGGCTACTTTCTTGAAATCTATCATTGCCTGTTTCATTTTTTGAGTTGTAACAATTATCTTTCTGTCTGGTGACTTAAAGCTTATTAGTTTAATTGGAGCCTGACTCATTCCTGATTGAGTTACCTGTCCCGTGAGGGGTTTAAATGGATTCTTTCTTTGCAAAGTAGCTTGGCTGATATTTTGAAAAGAACAATACTTTATCTCCTTGCTTGTTTATCTTCTTTCTGAAAGAATGGTATCTGTCATCATTGCTACTTGTTTGACATCCCTAGCAAGCATCTGAAGCTCAGGAAATAATTAATTAAATCTTGCCCCCACAAAAGTATTCTTATCAATATTCTTTGCTTCTTCTTTTTTTCTAACTACCTCTGACCCTAAGGTTGCTCCTTCAGCTCCGGTCCTCTGAATCTGCCAAAGTTGTTTTGATGTCGGTAATGTCTTTTGGGATTTTTAAAATATTAGATGCATTCTGTATGCTGGGAGCAAGCAACAACACAGTGTGACACAATCATTCACATGACATGAATAATGTACTTGCATCAAGTCATGATGCGAAATGATGCAAAAGGATCTAATTTGTGTCATTTGCACAATTATGGCATGCCACATGTCCATTTTAGCATGATCATCAAGATGCTTATGTGCTGGAGTTTTCCTTTCTCCAGGCTAAACATACCCAATGCCTCCAATTTTTCCTCGTATATTTTTCCTTACACGTTCCTTACCATACTCCAGTTTGTCCGTGTCCTTTCCTAAAATGCAGGGCCCAGAACTGGATGTAACATTC